CTTGTCCAAGTCCAAGTGCAAAGTGAGCTCAGAATGGTCAACAGCTCTAACTGCAGGCCCAACGTTCCGTTTCCATGACATTGATGCACAGACGTGACAGAGGCCTTTTACCAAATCTCATATTTCATACGAATATCTTTGGTTTAATGAAAGGCTACTAGGATAAAAATGGTTGTGCTGCAGTTTCTTGTTTATACAGCAGCATACATCCCGTGTTTTGCTTTCCTCTCATTAGGATAAGTTGCTGTTTTTTGTGTATTTCTGCTGCTTTCCATATTTGTGCAAACAAATACATCTCTAATAATCTCAGTTTCTGTGTTTTCTGTTTTTAATTCTGAATATTTTCCCTTACCCAACCCGTTTCTGCAATTAAACACACCTGAAGTTCAAATTGAACCGATGTCAATGGAAAATAGTTTGTAGTAGATATGATCAGATATTTTAGACATGTTAACGTCTCTTATACCTTCTACTACTAGGATGTATTTGTTCAGTTATGCTGATGCAGCTGGTTCCCTTTTTTTTATTGTTCTCTCTTTAGGAGACAAATATAAAGCTTTAACGAAGAAAGAAAGCTTACATGAAGTAGTCCTTTGATCGTAAGGTGCACGTATTTGTATACATTTGATATCCCTGATGAATTAATAAGCATATCTTCCAATCTTTGGCGTGTTTAATTAGCTAAAGTATATTCACATTTAAGAATTGTATTTTTCAGATTTGAGAACAGGGTAGAATAAAGCTCATTTAGCTATAACCAAAGTCCGTTTCATTCTTTGTCTATGGAGCTATACAATGAATACCTGCTGACATCACAAGTGTGACAATGTATACCTTCATGCTAATGGGTCATACTAGCAAAGTGCATTACTACAATTATAAAAATGGGTCCCAAACAGACTTATTTGGATCACTAATGTGTACTTTGTTAACTTCCATAACTACAATACCAATCCAGGGACAATGTAATACCATTATGTGTCACTACACAGAACACATCTTCCCACGGAGAAAGACAAACAAAAACAACATGGAAATAGAAGACTTACAGAAATACACAATTGTATTTTTAAGCAATAGCTCACGACAGGCCGTGGTATATGCTCATTATATCACAGCTAAGGGGCGTGGTTCGGCCCGACGCGAAGCGGAGGGTCGACAACCCCCTTAGCCGTGATATAATGAGCATATATCACGGCCTGAAGTGAGCTATTGCTTTTATAAAACGGTTACCAAGTGTGGCAATATGAATGAAAAATACACACTCTAATTTAAATAGTTGTTATTATTAAATAATGATGTTCAAAATAAAATAGTCCGTCCGTTGCCTTCTGCACAAAACATAGTGCGAGGTGGTTGCTATGCAACAACACTAACAACAGCTAGCGAACATATTAGACAGAGAGCGTTGATCCATTATTTGGCTATTTATTTACATTAATGTGTATGTTGCCGTTTATTGTGCACCCACTGAAAAACTGTCCAGCATCAGTAGCATGGCTTACGTGGTTACTTGTATAGGCTGAGGTTGTTCTAGGCTGTTGCTTGGCGTGGCGAGAATATTGCTCCACTTTCTCCGGTCCCCGAGATTCGGCTTCCAGTAGCTCTGGAGAGAGCTTTCGCACCTGTGGCCACTAACGGTCATAATTTCTCTGCTTTGTTTCAAGACCCGCATCAGAAAGCTTTTGAATGGTGATACTTTTCCAGTTGGTCTACCTGCTCTTCACGTCGCTCTACATGTCGTCGTTTAGGTGCTTTTTGTTCTGGAGATAGGCACTGCTCAATCCACTCCTCCATAGTAAGACACCCCCCCCCCCCCCGGAGGTCGAAGTTAATCTTAAATGTTTTTGCGGACCTTTTTGATTACAGATTTGAAAACATCGTTGCTCGCTTTAAAAGTAGCACAATTCATTATGTCAAACCTTGGAAAGTATCTAAATATCCCTGCCCTAATGCCAAAGGAACTGCACACTGAATATGTTTTTGCCGTTTGATGTCTATGTCTGAACCGTTGCGTAAAAAGGAGGGTTTCTGCTCCGTTACTTCTCCGCTGCTTTCTTGTTCCAGTTTGAAAAGCAAACTGCAAGCAGTTTGCTTTTCAGCCCAACTGTATACTGTTTATCTCAGACGCGGAGGGATACTGAGTTGTTGTGAAAAGTAACTTACAATTCTACCCGTGGTATACGCTCAGTATACCACGGCTAAGAACCAATCAGATTGCTTGATTTTACTTGTCCGTTTTATAAAATGTTTTATAAAACGGACAAGCCTGAAAAGCAAACTGCCTGCAGTTTGCTTTTCAAACTGGAACAAGAAAGCAGCGGAGAAGTAACGGGGCAGAAACCCTCCTTTTTACGCAGCGGTCCAGACATAGACATCAAACGGCAAAAACATATTCAGTGTGCAGCTCCTTTGGCATTAGGGCAGGGATATTTAGATACTTTCCAAGGTTTGACATAATGAACTGTGCTACTTTTAAAGCAAGCAACGATGTTTTCAAATCTGTAATCAAAAAGGTCCGCAAAAACGCTATCGACCAATCAGATTGCTTGATTTGACTTGTCCGTTTTATAAATATATTTACATTTCTTCCGTTACGAAACAAACTTACAGAGCATAAGATGGAAACATTTAAGATTAACTTCGACCTCCGGGGGGGTCTTACTATGGAGGAGTGGATTGAGCAGTGCCTATATCTCCAGAACAAAAAGCACCTAACGACGACATGCAGAGCTACGTGAAGAGCAGGTAGACCAACTGGAAAGGTACCACCATTCAAAAGCTTCCTGATGCGGGTCTTGAAACAAAGCAGAGAAATTATGACCGTTAGTGGCCACAGGTGCGAAAGCTCTCTCCAGAGCTACTGGAAGCCGAATCTCGGGGACCGGAGAAAGTGGAGCAATATTCTCGTCACGCCAAGCAACAGCCTAGAACAACCTCAACCTATACAAGTAACCACGTAAGCCATGCTACTGATGCTGGACAGTTTTTCAGTGGGTGCACAATAAACGGCAACATACAAATTAATGTAAATAAATAGCCAAATAATGGATCAACGCTCTCTGTCTAATATGTTCGCTAGCTGTTGTTAGTGTTGTTGCATAGCAACCACCTCGCACTATGTTTTGTGCAGAAGGCAACGGACGGACTATTTTATTTTGAACATCATTATTTAATAACAACAACTATTTAAATTAGAGTGTGTATTTTTCATTCATATTGCCACACTTGGTAACCGTTTTATAAAAGCAATAGCTCACTTCAGGCCGTGATATATGGCCATTATATCACAGTTAAGGGGGTTGTCGACCCTCCGCTTCGCGTCGGGCCGAACCACGCCCCTTAACTGTGATATAATGGCCATATACCACGGCCTGTCGTGAGCTATTGCTTAATTATATAATGTGCATAGCAAGAGACAGGTGATAAGAGGCCAACAAATCAAATTAGCCGACACGATTTTACATTTTTGAGTAGCACAATACAGGTGGTTGGAAGGAAATATAAACAGAAACAAAACATAAATAACCATGGGATGCAGGACTAGATTATACGTGTTCTTTTAATGCCATCGACCTGCCCGGTACTGCAGATGGAAATGTGCCGCTATGGCTAAATCTGACACATTTACATGATGGACTCAAGTGCTCCTGCTGATTAATTATCCTTTCCTAAATAAACAAATACAAATGCAAATCTATGTTGACTAAATAGCAGTATGGTGAAAAGCAGAGAAAGGCTTGAGAGCAGACAGGTTACAAAATGGATGCATTATTTGATATAGCTGCACACTGCACAATGTGTTTGATGTGTAGTGCTGTCCATGGTGCTGATCATGAAACTGTCACAATCTGTTTTAATGACTTTGTTTTGCCATTCTTATTAATAATAAGCAGGTCACTTCACTTAGTTTCAACTGAACTGAATTGTAAGTGTCATTATTAAGATATAGGTATATACAAATAGTTTAATAAGTCGTACTTTAACATGTAAACCTACATAATATTGAACTATGCAATGTCATTGTGATGCTCAGCACAGTGTAGCTTATTGTGGACGTGAAGTGATGAAAGAACATTAGTTAGAAATGAGATGCACTTAGTTACAATGTTCAAGTGTTTTATTGATGAGGATCCAGGAATATAAAGTACATTTGACTGATTACTTTGTGTACCTGTTATTATCTTCATGATTTGAATACTTCCACAATCACTGGATCCACATGAAAACTAAATTGCACATCATAATATATGTTACGATGTATACAGACAGACAGTGCCAACAAAGTTCCCCGCGGATTCTTTCACTTGTGCATCCCATATAATGAAGTTTACAAAATGGTCTTTGAATGATGAATTCACTACAAAAACTAAGATTGGGGAATAATCACTGTGATGATGTCTTTTTTTTTTTTTAAAAACACAAAAAGCAATACAGAAATGATTTGGAAGAAAGCTGTAATTGTGTAAAACATAGGCGGTTTCAGAGAAAAACACTGACTGGTCAACCCTTCTCTGTCAATACAGAACATATATATTTATATATATGTAGATAGTTATACAATCTGACATATATATATGTAGAAAGATATATAATATGACATTCAAACACTGGAAAATGGCAGACACAAAGCAGGGAAGACGGAGTATGACAAATGAATGATGCTCATGTCAGTGTTTTCCATCTCACTGTGGGGGCAGATTTATTTTTACATTTGTGTGGTCCATCCAATCCTCCATTCATGTAATCTTAACAAGATTATCTGTAGATAGCGACTCGCTCCTTCTCATATGTTGGAAAAAAAACATCCTTGAACCCTGGGCCCTCCCCCAAACTGTTGAGGGAAAATGTAGCTTTTCAGACTAAACAGGTGGGGAAAATAGCACCGAGGCCAAGGATGAATAGATTAACAGGATTTATGAGCAGCGCTATTTAAGAGGGAGACAGCACAGCTGCAGGTTCACAGCTGCTGCAGATGTTGAGAGAGTAACAGAAGAAACCACACACACAGCGGAGGTTCAACGCAACAACGGAGCTCTACAGGTACACCTTTTAGACGTGGTGAAGATTCATGTGGATTTAATGCAGTCGTAATGTTTTAATGATATACTTGTCTCCTGCAAAGTCTGAAGAAATGTTTGAGGGTTCAACTTTTAACAGGGAAAAAAAGCTTAGATTATCACAAACAAAAATGATATTGATCTCAAATGAATTGGGAGCCATGACAAATACCTGAAACCAGTTCATCTGTGTAGAAAGATAGATGGTGAAACAATCCTTTGAAATCCTGATAGAAAGTCTACAGGGTGAATTCAAATCTGTTTGTTGATCGTACCAATTCTAGAAATTAATGTATCACAGTTCTCTAATCAAATATAATCTTTTCTCTATATACATATTTGTTTTTACATATTTTTTCCACAGCAGGAACATACTTCTACTTGACCAACTTAAATAGTGATGTCAAAAGCAAAGCTGCTCGGTCTGATGTAAGATATTTTTGTAACCAGAGATAATTTTGTTTTGTTTTAGGAGACACAACACACTCGACCCACAACATTTTTTTGTCACAACAACTCTGGACAAAGTCAAACTGTGCCTCAATGTAATCCTCATATACTTGATCTTGTCTGTGCTGCACCAGGAAGATGATGCAGCTGGTTGTCATGGCAGCAGTGCTGGCTCTGGCGGGGGCAAGGCAGCCCTGCAGGTGCAGTTGTAACCAGACCGTCGTCCCCATCACCGTGTGGGGCTGTGGCATAAAGAAGGAGATCGACACCACCATTTGTGTCGGACAGTGTCCCTATAAGGTAGAGAACGATTATCACTCTGAGGTGATTCAAAGTGCAGGTGCATTCATTTTGCTGATATGCTTGATTCTGATAGGCTCTGCCCGGTGTATGGAGCTGCCACCGTATACTGTTATAGAGTTTTAGAAACGTCTGATAAGCAGAGGTGGAATGTAGTGCATTTACTCTAGTATAGTTCTTACTGTAAGTATTTGTATGACATAATTTTTCTTTTGCTACTTTATACTTTAACTTCATAACATTTCAGAGGCAAAATAAGTACTTTTTACTGCACTACCGTTTTTATACACTTATAGTTACTAGTTACTTTTACTTATAAAAACAGAAGCTTAATGTATATGACACACTTCTTTACTACGTAACGGCTATCAACGTATCAACATTTACAAACTTAAACATTCAAATGATATGCTGTGCCCTGTATTTGTAAGATTTAAAAAACAGAATAAGAAAATATTCTTTAATATTAACTTTAAGAGTACTTTTACTTTTGATGTCTAATGTGCAGAAATAAAATATTTTCTATTTCGGTGCTAATACTTTTGTATTTCTTACTTTTTTTTCTTCTCAGGTCTTTGAGTTGTAATTGAGTATTTTAACACCATAATATTTATAAAGGATCTGAGTACTAAGAACGGATTTGACACTACAAATAAAACATAATAAATTCAAATATGCTGGATCTCATAATAAAAACAAACAGTTCAACAAAGGTTAGAAGGGTACATTTTGAATCAGTAATCGTGAGCTTCTAATCGTTTTCTGTTCCTCACAGGATTCGTTCTGGCCTGAGGAGCGTTATGGGGAGACTGTAGTACAGAAGACCTGTAACGGGGACTGGTCCTACAAGGTGACGCACATTGACGGGTGTGCAGAGCCTGTCTCCTACCCCGTGGCCAGTAACTGCAACTGTAAGATGTGCGATGGAGAAAACACCTCCTGCAAGCGTTATTATGGAGACTTAAACAGCTGCCTGTCCTTTTAAACCTACCGCCTATCCAACTTTGACTTGTAATCTTTGTGTCACATGACATGTCGCTTAAATAAACAGGTACCACTTATGTGTTTGTGGTTTGTATTTTTTCCACAAGTAACTTTGCTCTGGCTTGTTGTAACGTATGCAGCGCATTGTCGACACTCAGTCAGTGCAGGAGTAACTTTAAGGCCATGAAAGCCGACTGAGAGGTTAGATTTCCCACCAACACTTTCCTCTCTGTCCTGACCAAAGTGACTGACCCCTGAAATTCAATAATCTTGCGATCAATGTAATGTTATCACACTGAAAACAGCAGGACTCATCTCTTTTCTGACAAGTGGAAATGATAGAAAAAGTTGTGCAGTATATCCAAAAGCTCCACTCTTCTCTCTTCATAAAACTATTTCAAATGTCTTGTTTCTGCACTTGAGCTATTATTGCAATAGGCCCTTCTGTGTGATGATGCTGTCACTTTGATGTTAAACTCTGCGCTCATGTTAAAGGTTTTGTGAAATATGCTATGTAGCCGAATGTGTCCATTAATCAACCGGACCAGTTAGCAGACTTTATTGTTGGTTTTCTCTTGAAAAGAGATTAGTGTAAGCACTCAAACCGAATAGAAAAAAAACCTTTACATGGTACAAAAGCCAAACCACAGCTGTAAAGTCAGTGCATGCTTTTGTTCTGCTGAAATGTTGTAATGATTAGCATCTTTGCAGAGAAATGAACTAAATGATATATCAGCTGTTACCCTGAAGTCCTCTGCGGTTTGCAGGCTTGTTTTTGATCCAAAAGCAGGTCAAGCTTCTGAGTCAGAAGAATGTTAGCATGACATTTTATTAATCCGGAGACATGGATAAACCTGAAGCCCCTGAGGACAGACAACTCACTCATTAAAATGAGAAGAGCTTCATTACCTACAGTCTTGTGACTTGGCAACAGTTTGATCCTAACCGTAAATATTCTTTAGTGTGGACAGCATTTAAGTCAGACTCATCCATTATAATGTGTTGTCAATATTAGTCTTATTGAGAAAATAAACATGTTGTGATTTATTTTAGAATGAAATGTTTGCTGTAAAACCAAATAGAGATAGAATATTGAATTAAATATAGAACATTGACGTTTTAAAGACGAAGGACTCACAAAATAGACACATGATAGACAAAGAGTGGTCATAATCAAAGCTGCTTGATGCGAGATAGTCTGACTTTTATCCCTGATATCACTAAGGCTCCTACATTTTTTATAATTCATCATATATTAGACATCTTGATTCTTTCAAACTATCGATAACAAGAAGACATTTACTTAACACTGTCACATTTGTATAAATGTATTTCAGCTGTGCACACTGGAGAACATATTAAAGGGTATCAATATGTGAGCCAGCCGGGAGTGCGGGGGTCAAAGCCAAAGGGCCCTAACAAGTGACACAATCCATGAAATGATTAACGATAGAACGTGGAACAGAATGATCAATGACAGAAAAAAGAGGTGGGTGTGAGTACATCTAAGTTTAGTTTAAGACAGCAGCATACTGAGGCAAGTGGAAGTTCAGTAAGAGAGTATATGACAGAGGGAGCTGAAGTATTTATTCAACACTTCTTTGTTGTTTAGAGTACATGGAGCGATGACTTGAGCTCGTGTAGAGGAGGAGAAGGAGCCAGCAGGTAGAGATGGACTGTGCTGCTTTTTTACCCTGTACACACACATGTCTCACATTTTCGGTACCACTTTACAATAAGACTACCCTTATAAAGGTTTCATAAAGGGCTTATAATTATGTTGTAAACACTTTATTAATCATTAAGAACCATTTATAAACCAGTTCTAACATAGTTTTCATACATCAACACAGGCTCACTATTTGGCAAGATGACTAAGCCTTATATTGGTTACCTAGCTTACTTCGTCTTCTTCCTCAGCCAACATCCTTGGTATCTGTTGTTCACTGAGTTGATTCCCCCCCTTCCTTCTTGGTGTTTCTTGGCATCTCTTTATGACCATTTATTTATGAGTTACTAACATTTATAACTGCCAAAAGGGAGACTTGTAAAGTGTAAAACACATTCCCATTTATTAATGAGTTACTACCATTTCAAATAAGGCGTAGCAGTACAGATAAATGTGGGCTCAGCAACCGGTCACAGTTGCCCTGTTTATCTCATGTCTTATAAAAGCTTATTAATGATTTATAAAGGTTCACAACCTAATTAATAAATGAATTACAAACTATTCGTAAACCCTTTTTGGTACCGTTTTTTCTTTTGCCTGATCATGTGTTTTGTTTTTTAAAAAGGGAAGATTTACCAATACAAGTTATTCTTGCCCAAAGTGAAGTATTATAGAAATTAGACCAAAATAAACACCCAAAAATGATATAAAACCGAGAAAGTCACATAGCAATATTACATTTTTAGCTCTTAGGCTGTTGATCCTGTGGTTCAGACTAAAATACTTGAACCCTTATGTGATCAATTGCAATGAAATAGTGTGTCAAACATGCTGGAAAATGTATATCAGCCTCAGGGTAACTTGTAGTATTGTAGCTGTAATTATAGTCACTTTTTTTTTGTTCACTTCCTTATATCTTTTTAGGAGTGAAATATGGAACAACCACATTACTTCATCTTCTCTGACAACATCCAGACGGACCTTGGACCTTCTCACCCTGATGTTCATAGATTCTAGTTCAGCCTTTAATCTCCTAACAGACTCTTCTGTCACCTCTCCAGCTCAGTGTGAACACTGCAGGCTGGATTTCGCTGACAGATTTCAGGTCATTGGTGTTCGTTAATAGCAGCATGTTTTCATCCAGCAGCTCCCTGGAGGTTCATGTTCCTCATGACTGCCGAAGCCAATATTTAGATAGACATTTCATCGTGCTCACGGACGAGTCGTTCTCTCTGCTGGAAGGAAGAACTGGACGCGTTCATGTAGAGCAGGGGTGTCAAACTCAATTTCATCACGGGCCACATTCGCATAAAGGTTGCACTCAAAGGACCGGTTGTAACTATATAAATATATAATATATATATAAAATAATGTATTATATTACATTATTGCCTCTGAATTGAATTATTATACGTCTGAAAGCAGAAGTCTAGGGCAAATAATTGCAAGTCTCTTCAGTGTGCATGTCACAAAACGAGATGCATTGTGGGACATGTAGTTTATGGGCAACCTGCTTCTGTAAAGTGGCATGTAACCGTATAATAAACGTATTATATTCTTTGCAAGCTCTTGCGGGGCCACATAAAATGAAGTCGTGGGCCAGATTTGGCCCCCGGGCCTTGAGTTTGAGACCCCTGATGTAGAGGATGGCTTTGTGTCAGGCTTTGATGTATTCTTCCTTGAGATGGATTTTATAAAAACTAAGGACAAAATACTTTTATTTAAATGCTTTTTTCAGCACCGTCCAGAGCACGTTATTATCACTGCTGTCTTTGATTAACAGCTGTTAAAGCACAGAAGGCTCTAAATGGGCAAACCAACATCCTCTCCTGCATGTGTTTCTGTTAGCCAGTGAGAGAGGTGGATCAAACTAAAATGACACATCCAGTAATGAGTTCATTTCCACAGCAACTTGGCTGTTTTCTGTGTTAGCACCGTAATGATGAAGCCTGTTCACAAGAACCTGCTTTGTGAGGCTGGACTGAGGCACTGCGAGCTTTGACATGCTTTCATGTAGTTAGTTAGATCGTTTTCTTGCCAGCAGGATTATGGAAAAACTACTACTGGTTTTCAGGAAACTTGATGGAAGGGTGGGAAAGAGAGACAGATCAAACTCTCAGGGCGGATTCATGCATTATATTTCACCTTATGAAACATTCAGCGGAGGTCTGCGCTATCGGACTGCCGTTCTAATATTGCATGTCTTTTGGTCGTGAAAATAGCTTATCAAATGTAGTAGGCAAATTGAGATGACGACCCAATGACGGGGCTTTAAATACTATCCCCTGGCTGCTAGCTCACAACTGGTACTGGTACTGGATGTGTATTTAGTACATTGTGTAACTTCTATCATTATTATTTCTTAATAATATTAAGCTATCTTTGGCTTTTTACTTGCTGTAACAAATGTACATTTCCCCTCTGTGGGACGAATAAAGGTATTCTGATTACAATTCATCCTGATGGGAACACGCCTTTTAGAGATCAACATCTTAAGAAAGTCAATGGGATTCATCTCCTGGGAACCATGAATAACCGTACAAAGTTTTTGCGGCAGTCCGTGTTGTAGATTTTAAGATATTCCACTAAATAAATGAACATTGCTCTCAGGAGATCATCAAACCGAGAAGGAGTTGTACTCTGGGGACCTTGAGTATATAGTAATAGAAATGTTCATAGCATCCATTCAAGGGTCGTTGACATAAGTTTGTGGCTTAAAACTTGAAATGACGTGAAGGATTCCATTACAAAACATCCTATTTTTATTATAAACAACTTTTGTAACCTCAACATAATAACATTTATGGCTAATAAATGGTTCAAACAGAATTCATTGGACTATTTCTTAACAAAATGAACTGATGCTACGCCTAAAATCAATACAACAGTAACAATGCATAGTATCGTGCTTAATATGAATAATATACATCATGTATACACTTTATATATACAGTCTATGTGTATACAGCATAATGTATGAGAAAGAAGGCATCATTTAAAGGCTGAGGTGGTTTTTGTAGTACCTTCTGCACTTGGAGTTGAATTGATTTGACTTTAATTTAAATTGGAATTTGGAACAAATTGATGAATGTCTCGTGTGCATCGATCAGGGTATATTAATATTAATATTAATAAGCTATGTATAAAAATGAGTTATACAATTAACAACACAAAGAAACCTAGCATTTCATTTGCATGCCCTTTAAAAAAAGTAACATCCACCGTTCAAATTTGGCAGGATCATGATTTGTCAGGCCCTGCTGCAAGTGCTCCCTGGAAATAAGCAGGATATGTGAGGATATGAAGACGAAGCGATCCCGCGCCGCATGACACTTGACCTAGCCGTCCTCAAGGACAGCAGGATGTGGATAAATGAGACATTACTGTCTGAGCAGCA